AACATAAACGGATGTATTATGATCCGCAGAGTAAATGTGTTAGATTTAGTTTCTAGAGTTCCGTGGTAGCAAAGGAACTTGTGTACAAAACTATGTTTTTATTTTCCTTCATTATATCTTTTAATAGTAGTCAAATATGTGACTGCCATTTTAATAGGATCATTTATATACCAAAAGACATAGTTATTGAAAAATTCATGTCATTACCATTCACCTGGTATAACCCAAATATGAATCACTATAGGAGTAACAATTTCTAAAACAATTGTTTTTTTAAATTTTCTTAACATTTTAAACTATTACTACGGTGAGTTTCATTGCATTCTGGTATGCAGTTATCATGGGAAGAGCTAAAGGTCTGTAACCCTGAGTGTTGAGAGCCTGAAGTTAGAGAGGGAAAAAAGTAGGTATATCTAAGTGTGTCACTTTTGTCCTATCTTAAAAAGTGGGATTTACGATGACAGAGATGCTTTGTACTTTTGCTGAAGCCAGCCAACTGTGAATTTTTTTAAAACATTTTCCTAGTGTCCTTCCAACAGCAGTCCAAAACATTGTCTACACTTCCTTCTTCACACACTTCTTCCCATGTCTGTGTGATGCCTTATTCCCTATGATTTCCTCCTCTTTGAATGCATTTCCTCAGTCTCCTTTGCTGCATTATCCTTCCAAGCCTGGGCCTTATGATTTTGTTGACCATCAGATTCAATCCTGGTCCTCCTTGTCTTCTTATTCCATTCTGTCTCTATCTAGCCAATTATATTGATGCCTATTGGTTCGGTTCCATCAATATCAACTAAATATTAGTGTTATGCTTCTACTTTACATTTCTGAATCATATAGGTAGATATAATTGTCTATTAGATGTCTGTAAAGGCACATCTCAGAGTCTTCAACACTAAATGTATCCAAGACAAATCTCAGTAGGTATAAGGTTCTCACTTCAAACTTGGCTTTCCTTCAACATTGTCCAAGTCAGTGAATATTACTACTGCCCTCACCAAATCAGAAAACCAAGTTTTATTTTAATACTACCTTCTTTATCATTATTCAATCCATTACAGGGTCTTTTAGATTATATCTCTCAATTCAGTCTATTTCTTTATCTCATTTATATGACCCTAATCCAAGCTACCATGATATTTTCTTGGCTTACTATAATCACCTCTTAAATTATCTTCCTCCAGCTCATCAAGTCCCACTTCAAACCAGTTTCTACATTTCAGAAAGAATAATCATTTAGAAATTTAGACCTTTTCATGTAATTGTTATGGATAAATCCCCACTGTTCTTAGCCAATCTTTAGATGGCTTAAAAGGTCCTTCCTAGTCTAGTGTTTACCTATCTGTTCCCTTCCTCAGTGGCATCTTATCATTCTTTCTTTCACTTATTGATTTATAATCTATTCAACAAATTGAGTAGATAAAAAATTTTAAAATAGCATAAAGAAAAATTTTATTTTAAAAATATTATGTCTAAAAGTATGTTCTTAATGCTCTGCAGTTTTCATGAGACCATGTCTGGAGTTTCTAAAGAAACCATATTCACCGAGATGAAGGTATTTTAATTTTGTCTTCAGATAACAGGCTATACAGAAGACTATCTACATAAACAAAGACAAATTACTTCCAAGACCATTTGATTAATTTGAAACAAACCACTGAGTGCAGATGGGCATGCTAAGAAACAGAAGTATAGATTACAATAATAACAACATTTATTTCTTTATACAAGTTGTAATAAAGTCACATTACCCTTTACTGATCAAGTGATAATACTGATGGAAAGCTCCATATTTCAAAAATCTCAATCTGTTTGCCATTTAAGTTCGCCAATACTCAAAAATATTCCTCAGCTCTGACAACTCCCCATATAACTTTCCTATAACTATATGATCTTTTAAATATCCAAACTTTTAAATGTTTATGTACAATTGTTCTTTGTTTCCAGTTAGCTTCAGACAGTGACATCAATGCTAGGTTAATAGAAACTATCTACTTACCATATTGTAGGTGGCTCAGAACCTTCTATTTCTAAGTAATCATATTTTTCTTCCATTTGGAAATCAGTAAATATGAGAGAAATTGTGTCCCCAGGCTCTGCTACAATGGTCCAAGTGCAATCAGCATTGTTATGGTACTCATTAGGAAAACTAGGGCTGGATATGATGCCACTGGATCCTCTCATTGTTCCTCCACAAGCATCTTCAGCTGTTAAAAACAAAGACAAAATATTCAGGTTTAAGTTATAAAGAGAAATACAATTAAAGTAATTCAACATTTTTAAGTAAAAATAACAGTCCAAATGTTGTGATATCAAATGCATAATATACTAATAGAGATTAAATAAAATGAGAAGTTTATGAAAAATTTATAAGCACATGTATAAATAGAAACAATATCTGGACAACTTTATAACCCATGGCTGAAATGGCAATAAAAGTAAAATCTACACACCAAAATTAAATCCCAGTGTAATAGAAGCAAGATTTTCTTTTCATGTTTAAGTGATAAAGAGAATTAAACAAAAAAAATACATTTTTTAAAATCTGTGATAGGAAATCTTTAATCACTTTGGGTATATTTGTTTATGGCAAGATCATTTTATTTTTTAATGTAGGTATGTACAATATAAAGGCATCCCCTCCCCCAACACCTGCTTGATTTTTGGTGAATTATACTACCATATGTGCACATGAGTGTCGATCTATAAATTCCAATTTTTTAATGAGTACATATAATTTTGGTTCTTCCATTCTTGTGATGCCTCATTTGAAATGATGGTCTCTAGTTCCATTAATGTTGTAAAAAAAGTTATTAGTTCACCAATTTTTTATGGCTGAGTAATACTCCATGGTATACATATACCACATTTTATTGCTCCACTTATGTATTCATGGACAGTTGGGTTGTTTCCACATCTTTGTGATTGTGAATTGTGCTGCTATAAACATTTGAGTGCAAGTGTCTTTTTTATAAAATGTCTTTTTTTTCCTTTGGGTAAATGCCCAAGTAGTGGGATTGCTGAACCAAATGGTAGGTCTACTTTTAGTTCTTTGAGGTATCTCCATACTACTTTCAATAGAGGCTGTAATAGTTTGCAGTCCCGCTAACAGTGTATAAGTGTTCCCTTCTTTCCACAGCCACACCATAATCTATTGTTTTGGGACTTTTTGATAAAAGTCATTCTCATTGGACTTAGATGATATCTCATTGCAGTTTTGATTTGCATTTCCCTGATGCTTAGAGATGCTGAGGCTTTTTTCACATGCTCATTGGCCATCAGTCTGTCTTCTTTTGAAAAGCTTCTGTTCCTGTCTTTTGTCAGCTTTTTAATAGGGTTGTTTGATGTTTTCTTGCTGATTCGCTTGAGTTCTTTGTAGAATCTGGTTATGAGCCCTTTATCAGATGTATAGCATGCAAATATTTTCTCCCATTCTGTAGGTTGTCTATTCACTACATTGATTGTTTCTTTAGCTGTGCAGAAGCCTTTTAATTTAATCAGTTCCCAATTATTTATTTTTGTGTTGCTGTGATCGCCTTTCGGGTCTTCATAAATTCTTTGCCCAGGCTGATATCTATGAGTTTTTCTGACCTCTTCCTCTAGAATTCTTGTAGTTTCACGCCTTAGGTTTAAGTCTGTTATCCATCATGAATTAATTTTTGTGAGGGGTGAAAGGTGTGAATCCTGTTTCATATTTCTTCATGTGGCTATCCAATTTTACCAGCACCATTTCTGACTAGGGATTCTTTTCCCCAGTGTATATTTTTGTCTGCTTTGTCAAAGATCAAATGGCAATATGATGATGGTTTCATATCTGGGTTCTCTGTTCTGATACATTGGTTTAGGTCTCTATTCTCGTGCCAGCACCATGCTGTTTTGGTTACCACAACCTTGTAGTATAGCTTGAAGTTCAGTAAAGTGATGCCTCACAATTTGTTTCTTTTGCTTAAGGTTGCTTTGGCTATTCAGGGCCTTTTCTGATTCCATACAATGCATAGAATTATTTTTTCTAGATCTGCAAAAAATGACGTTAGTACTTTAATGGGGATTGTGTTAAATCTGTAAATCACTTTGGGTAATATAGACATTTTAACAATGCTGATTCTGCCAATCCATGAGCATGATATGTTTTTCTATTTGTTTACATCCTCTGTGATTTCCTTCCTCAGTGATTTATAGTTCTCCATGCAGAGGTCTTTCACCTCCTTGGTTAATTATATTCCTAGGTATTTTATTTTCTTTGTTGCTATTGTGAAAGGTATTGAGCCTTTAATTTGATTCTCAGCTTGGCTATTGTTGATGTATAGGAATGCTACTGATTTTTGTACATTGATTTTATAGCCTGAGACTTTGCTGAATTTATTTATAAATCAACTTTATTTTTGGTGCAGCTTCTTTATTCTTCATAAATTGGGTTTGTGGCATATAAGGAAAAGGTGAGACAGAAGAGTAAGGTGGTGTTCTCTGTTTTCCCTGATAGCATTTTTGTTCATCCTCCACTTCCCACTGAGCTCTCTATAATCTTCCTGTGGTTTCAAATAGAAAGGATCAAGGGACGTGAATCCTCTTATTTGGCTGGCACTAATTTGGCAGCAATTTCTATGGAATTTGGCAGATAATTAAACAAAGATGGTTCTTTTGCTCACAGGCCCTTTCATGGGATCCTCAAAGGTGTCCCCATCAGTTATTGCTGAGTGTGAGTATGTCTCTCAGGCTGGATTCTTACATTATTCTCCCATATTGTAGGAATAGCCTAGTACATTTCCATCATCTTTCCAACCATGGCTCCTCATCTTCCTAGGTGGGCCTCTTAGGCAGGATCTAAGACAATACCAAGCCAGAACTCTCTCACAAAAATCCCACATTTGATCATGTGAAAGCATGCCCATTTATTTATTCTCTTTGGAAATTCAGTTTCATCCAAAATCCAGCACTCTGGGTTTGCAACAGGCATTTCGGCCATGGTTTAAATAATAATATATTGTATCACTTAAGCTCCAGGGTGTACAAATCTATTTCTCTAGACAATCTCCTTGAATTTCCTCAGTCTAGACTCACAATAAAGAGAAACCACTCCAAACTCCTGACACATGTAATGGAGAGCAACTCAAAAAATATCCCACTTCGGGGAAATCTTTATTTTATACCAAATTAATTTCAACCTCAAAGTATCAGTAACATTCACTCTAAAACAAGTATGGGGACTCAGTTCCCTTAGCATCGAAACCCATGCTCTTGTCAATTCTTGTATCAAGTTCTATGTTCAGCACTACTGTTTAATCTCTTTATTACAACAAACACTATCATAGAATCCGCATCTGACAAAATTGTGAAATAGGTAAAATTTGATTGAGTAAATGTTAGGAAGAAAACATTTTGGCTTGGTGGCCCTACCTGAAAGCTAAAACCTTTATATTGTGATTTGGCTTGAATTAAATACAATATTTGTAATGCAATATATTTTCTATAATCATGGATTCATAGAGGGATGTATTATGTAAATATGTATATATATTTTTATTTTATAGCAGAGTTAGAACAAGTAAAAGGCAGCATTATGACTAACCATGGAATTCTTGAATCTAGAGCTGTGCTCTTTCTGCTAGGTATCATTGCTCGGTGTCTGGTCAAAATGAGTTGATATATATCCTGTCAAAAAGACCTTTATTCTGTCAACATCACTCTGATTTGGCCGTTAGGCTTGCCTGTTTGATAAGTGCTGCCTGCAATATTTTCTGTTCAATAATTCACAGAAAGGGCAGCATTCACAGAATACTGATCCATAAGACCATTTCTTAAGAGATTCTAAATACACAAGGGATCATATTGGTTATTTGTATCAACTTCTTATAAAATTTGAAGTTTATTCATTAGGTCATATGTTCAAAAGCATTAATTGATACAAATCTACTAAGTGCCAGAAGGAACCATGCAATCCCTCCAACTACAATGTTGATTAAAGTTTATCTCCATCCCTGCCCTCATGGAGTATTCTGTCTAGTAGTGAGTCAGGTTCTAAGCAAATGACAAAATAAACACATAAAATTACTTTACTGGCAAGTACCACGAGGAAGGAACATTTAGTACTAATGTTATATATTTGGGGGCTTTAAACTAGTTAGAAAATTGAGGAACAAGAATTCTCTGAGGAAGCAATGCTGTTTAGAAACTCAAAACATGAACAGTAAGCACTAACTAGATAAGAAGCAGAGGGAAGAGTGTCAGGAGGTTCACTGACACTTTCACTGAAGGGAAATGGACCTGTGTGCTACAGACAAGAGGGTGAGAGGCTATGTGGTACCAAATGCAATTGGAAGGGCAACTAATGGCTAGACCTTGCAGGACCATTCTGACAATGCTATGGAATTTATTCAGAGCAATGGAAAGTCATTAAAGGGTTTTCAGTAGAGATATTAGATTTGGGTTTTGAAAAGATCATTTAGCTATTCTATGAGATGAGAGAGGAAGGCCACAGTTGATACTGATTTGGAGGCTGAATCAAGAGCCCAGACAAATTCTTGCATGCATCATTGATTCCTAAAGATAAACCATCTCTTGTTTATTGACTATGTTAGCATATTTTTATCTCAAAATCTTCAAAAGATTTGTTTGGTCTTTGTAGGCATGTCAGAAGAAATAGCATCATGCCAAAATAAATTAGAACACCCCTCTTAGGCCAATATCTGAGAACAATATATTTTTTATTTAAATAGTAAAGCAATGCCATTAAATATCTTAGATTTCCCTTGAGGCTAACTAGAAGTTATGATGTCTTAGGTATATGATTACTTAACATATAGGGAATACAGTGAATAATAAAGGTTGGTAGTTTCTCTACTCACATATACTCTTATATATAAGAAAAATATAAAGGTTATAAGATTTACAATGGGTTAATTTTTTATACATAGATATGTGCACATTTATATAGGCAAAATATTGGCAAATTGCATGTTAAGAAGCTTGAAAAGCCAGTTTGTAACATGGGGAAAACCACCAATTCAGCCAATGGAATCAATAAGGACAAAGTGGACTTTTAAGAATAAGGATAAAAAAATCCTTTAGGACTTTGGACTTACTTCAGTTTTCTGGAGCAGTACTACCAATTTCCTCTTAAGTTCTTAATGTATTTAAATCTATTGAAAAAATATGGCTGTTGAATTTAAAATATTATTAAATCTAATTTTATTTGTTTATAGTATTATAA